AAAAAAATGGCATAGTATAGCATGGCAAAAAAAAATGAAAAAATGGCACAGTATATTAAGGCATAAAAATGTCAAAATATAATAGTATAAAGATGTCAGTATATTAAGGCCTAAAAGGTGAAAAAAACAACAAAGTATAGTATGGCAAAAAAATGAAAAAAACGACATAGTATAGTATGGCAAAAAAAATGGAAAAACTGGCATAGTATATTAAGGCATAAAAACATCCAAAACTGTTATAATATGGTAAGGCATACGGATTTTATAGTATATTAAGGCCTATAAAGTAAGAAAAACGAAAAAGCATAGTATGGCAAAAAAAAAGTCAAAAACCACATAGTATACTATGGCAAAAAAATGAAAAAAATTGCATAGTGTATTGAGGCATAAAAACATCCAAAACTGTCATAATATGGTAAGGTATACGGATTTTATAGTATATTAACGCCTATAAAGTAAGAAAAATGAAAAAGCATAGTTTGGCAAAAAAAAGTCAAAAACCACATAGTACAGTATGGCAAAAAAATGAAAAAATGGCATTGTGTATTGAGGCATAAAAACATCAAAAAACGTCATAATATACTATGGTATAAAGATGTCACTGTATATTAAAACCTAAAAAATGAGAAAACTGACATAGTATGGTATGGCAAAAAAAGTTAAAAAAAACCACATAGTACAGTATGGTAAAAAAATGAAAAAATGGCATCGTATAGTATGATAAAAAAATGAAAAAATGGCATTGTGTATTGAGGCATAAAAACATCAAAAAACGTCATAATATACTATGGTATAAAGATGTCATTGTATATTTAAACAAAAAAAGTGAGAAAAACGGCATAGTAAAGTATGGCAAAGAAATGAAAAAATGGCATCGTATAGTATGATAAAAAAATGAAAAAATAGCATAGTATATTAAGGCATAAAAACATCCAAAACTGTCATAATATGGTAAGGCATACGGATTTTATAGTATATTAAGGCATATAAAGTAAGAAAAACGAAAAAGCATAGTATGGCAAAAAAATGAAAAAAACGACATAGTATAGTATGGAAAAAAAAAATGAAAAAATGGCATAGTATATTAAGGCATAAAAACGTCAAAATATAATAGTATAAAGATTTCATAGTATATTAAGGCCTGTAAAGTAAGAAAAACAAAAAAGCATAGTTTGGCAAAAAAAGTCAAAAACCACATAGTATAGTATGGCAAAAAAAAAAGAAAAACTGGCATAGTATATTAATGCATAAAAACATCCAAAACTGTCATAATATGGTAAGGCATACGGATTTTATAGTATATTAACGCCTATAAAGTAAGATAAACGAAAAAGCATAGTATGGCAAAAAAATGAAAAAAACGACATAGTATAGTATGGCAAAAAAATGAAAAAATGGCATTGTTTATTGGGGCATAAAAACATCAAAAATCGTCATAATATACTATGGTATAAAGATGTCATTGTATATTTAAACGTAAAAAGTGAGAAAAACGGCATAGTAAAGTATGGCAAAAAAAAGAAAAAAATGGTATAGTATAGCATGGAAAAAAAATGAAAAAATGGCATATTATATTAAGGCATAAAAACGTTAAAATGTAATAGTATAAAGATGTCATAAAAAGTGAGAAAAACGGCATAGTAAAGTATGGAAAAAAAAAAGAAAAAAACGGCATAGTATAGTCTGGCAAAGAAATGAAAAAATGGCATAGTATAGTATGGCGAAAAAATGGCATAGTATATTAAGGCATAAAAACATACGAAACCGTCATAATATGGTATGGTATATGGATTTCATAGCATATTAAGGCCTGTAAAGTCAGAAAAACAAAAAAGCATAGTCATTGTATATTTAAATGTAAAAAGTGAGAAAAACGGCATAGTATAGTCTGGCAAAGAAATGAAAAAATGGCATAGTATAGTATGGAAAAAAAAATGAAAAAATGGCATAGTATATTAAGGCATAAAAACATCCAAAAACTTCAAAATATAAAAGTATAAAGATGTCATAGTATATTAAGGCCTAATAAGTGAAAAAAACAACAAAGTATAGTATGGCAAAAAAATGAAAAAAACGACACAGTATAGTATGGAAAAAAAATTTAAAAATGGCATAGTGTATTAAGGCATAAAAACATCCAAAAACTTCATAATATGGTAAGGTATACCGATGTGATAGTATATTAACACCTATAAAATGAGAAAAACTTCATAGTATAGTACGGCAAAAAAATGAAAAAATGGCATAGTATAGTTAGGCATAAAAATGTCATAGTATAGCAAGGCACAAAAACGTAATAGTATAATAAGGCATAAAAACTTCAGAAAAGGTCATACTGTACTAAGGTATAGAAGCCAGAGATACCCGAAAACCAACATAGGGACAGGGAAATCATTCAAAAGTTTAGTATAGAAAGGTCACAGGTGGGGTTTGAACCAAGTATCATCTGTTTGGGAGTCCACAGCTTAAAACCACTGTACTACCATGCCAAATCATGCAAGAATCATACTATACTTGGCTTCATAGTATATTAAGGCATTTAAATGGCAAAAAATGTCATAGTATAGTAAGGCATAAAAATCCAAAAAAACGTCATAGTATAATGATGCATAAAATGGCAAAAAATGTCATATTCTAGTAAAGTATTAGAGTCGCCATAAATCTAATGCATATATCTTTGGACTGTGAGAAGAAGGCAACAAGTCTAACCACTGCTTCATTGTGATTCCTCATAAATTGTATAGAGGGTTAGGGGTTAGGCATAAAACTGTCATAGCATAACGTAAGGCATAACAAAGTGATAGTATTCATGGTGACATTTTCATGGGATTTTTTATGACAGAAATTAAACTCATAATTTGATATATCCAACATTTTATTTTTAATCCTACTAGCAACTAGCCTACAGAAGACAGAAGTCAGGGTTAGTTCACCAGTTAATGCTAGCTAACATGGTTAAATAACATCAGTGTACATTTTTCTGGTTACGTTAGGTACCACTTTGATATTCTCACATGACGTGAGCCTTCAGATAGCCCTGCCCTTTCAGTCAATCAAATGCTAGCTAGCCTAAATTGGTTGTCTTGGAAACACCCTCTTGAAGTGTACATTGGAATGATCTAATATGACTTCACTCCAAACAAAGTGCCAACAAGTTCACTCAAATATTGGTAGGGACGAAAAAAAAATGCTGTTATGTGCGCCCTTATAACCAGCTGAAGCTACAGGCTACAGTGCTGAAACAACAGATAATACAACCTGCAGCTTAAATCAGTTGACTTGTGTATTCTGGCTCAAATTTGGATGAATTCAGCACCTATCACCATGTTTTATTTACAAATTCAATGACGAAGCATTTTGAATCTGCCTCTGACTTCTCCAAAGCAAAAATTGCTCAGACTCATGGGTATTGTAGTAGTATCAGCTGATGGACAAAACATGATTTCTCAGAAAGTTGCATAACATTAAGGATATTGTTTTTAAAAAATTGGAATACAGACTGGGATAAAAACAGCAGATCCTCCCACTTTGCAACACTACAGTCAAAAGCCCAAAGATATTAATTTACTGTTAGATATACTAAATAACAGTCAACAGATCCTCATATGAGAAGCAGAGAACCAGTAAATATTTGGCCTTCATATTCAAAATTAGAATCTAATAGTTGCAGTATAATTTTCTTTTGATTGATGAATCCAATAATCCTTTGCATTCTAGTACGTATGTTTAACCATTGTCAAGATATAGCCTGTACCTGTATCCATGTAGCCGACAGTTCTTTCTTTCACTCATCAGTTTATAAATCTCCTCTTCCAGTCTTGTAATTTGTCACTTGCAGACAAATAACACCATCTTTTTGTAATGTGATCTGATTCTAAATGAGAGAGTCAGCTACTGTATCTTGACAGTGTAGGCTCCAACAGCATAGCCAGCCAACAAGATGTTATCCCTGAGGGCTAACATGTCTGTTTTCACTGCACAGAGGTAAATTAACCGTGATGCTAATTGTCAGCCAGGGCCGACTCTGTCTTTCTTCCACCATTTGCATCTTTTTCTCAATAGGCTTCCCCCTATACTGTCCCAAGATTGAGTCATTTCTATATATATGTGTACACACTTTTTTCTCACTTCATCTCCTCCTACATTTATTTCACTTCGTCTGTCACCATTTCTTCCCACTTACTCTTCTCCCGCTCTTTTTTCCACTACAGGAGTTGAATAAATTTTCTTTCTGTCTTCACACTGGCTTTGCTGCATGAGTTGGTCTCTTATTGTGTAATGTCTTCCCCATTGTCCCTGTTTGTATTGTGTTAAAAAGAGAAGCTTACATGTGTTGTGACTCTAAATGAAATGAAAACCATCGTCATAAATCCATCTCTGTCAAGGACACAACAGAGAATAAGAAAACAAAGCTTCTCATGGTGTTGATGGCAAATTCATATTGTTTAACTCTGTCAAATGCATTTGAATATTCAGACACCAGGGATTGTGTTGATTGATGTGGACGAGTGCTGAAGGACGTCCTGTAGGTCCTAGGGATGGGGGTCCTCAGTGGGGAGGCAACCCCAGCACTGAGAGCTCCTGTTGGGATCCCCACAGTCGCGGAGCCCCAGGCATGTGTCAGGGCTAACCAAAGGCAAATCAGTGGCCAAGGACGTGCTGTAGCACTCGCACACAAATGCACACATGGTGCTGTTAAAATTCTGAAGTGTGGTCTGTTTAATGTGCCACGTTGTAAAGGCGAAGACATGTAAATGAGGAGTCTCCAGTGTGGACATGTATGAATTGGTAGTATAATGACCTACTGTGGTGCCAAGATTAGTTACGCAGTCTATCTGGTAATGGCAGAGGAAACGGTGTGTGCGCCATTGTGTTTTTTTGTGATGTTGATATATCTTCATTATACCACAGTTGATTTCCAACAGACTGTGCCGATAAGTGATCAGACAAAAAAAAAACACACCAGTTTGTTCCATCACATTTTTTTTTTTTTTTTCCTGTTAGTTTATTTTTCAATTGCTTAGAAAAACAAAACAAACAAGAGCTCACAGATGACCCACTATTGCCAATGTACAGCTTGTCTGTGTGCCGACCGGAGCCTAATTTTTTTTCAATATTCATGAGAATATGCAAATGAAGGTGCGTCTCATTCAATCGTCGAGTGAGTCATGTGACCCGAGCAATGGGGTCTAAGGGCACGCGGGGTGGGGAGGCTCCAGCGCCACAGACGAGGGGAGGGCGATCCCCACCTGCACCCATCTGCTGTGAGAGGGAGCCACTCTTTGCATAATGGAAACTGACCAATGGGTTTCTTTTTCTTTTCACAAACTAAAACACAGTAATACCACACTTACACACTTGCCAGCAAGCTAGGTATCACAACAGTTTCAGATGTCTTGAAAACCCACCACAAGGGAAAAATTATATATATAAATGAGCTAAATATAATTTAAATAGAAACCTAGAAATAAAATACGGACAACAAAAGACAAAAAAAAGACAGTATAACAAATCACATCTTAAGCAGACACATACTTACAGATAATTAGGCTGCACCTCCAAAAACATTTGTGAGCTTTAAATCACCCTTCTCATCTAACTAATCTTCTGGGGTGTGTTTCTGCCACACAGGATCTTAATTCTTGATGCAAGACAGAGAAAATAATATAAAAACACTTATAACTGCCCACAGAGATTCAATGGGAAACTAAGTATGTGTATGCATGTTCGTGTGTGTGTGTGTGTGTGCGTGTGTGTGCTCCCAAGCAATGAGTTAGTTCCTGATAGAAATGCATGGGAAAGGCCAACTTCTAGCCATGGTCATGTGCAACATCTCTGTTGCACTACTCCCCTTTGTTTCAATGTTTTAAAATACTTGTAAATATACTGTATGAGGATTATATATAGAGCCCATTTACAAATGGTACATGATTGGCTTGGTACGTCAATATCATAGTACACACGTTAGCTGGAATAAGGGACACATATGAGAAGCTAATGAGGTCATACGATAAGATTTTCTGCTTTTCATCATTGTCATCTTCAAATACACAGGTTAATAGTTGTCATTTTTCTCAAAAACAAAGCAAGATCAAATACAGTTGATATTAAACACTTGCAAAATGTCCACTGCAAAGAATGGCTTGAGTAAGAGAAAAATTTAAAGAAGCATTCCACTTCTGTTTCTCTGTGTGCCATGCTTTTTTTTCTTTTTTTCTTTTCTTTTTTATACATCACATCACTTTTTTCATCTTCAAATGTGTTCTTTTCTTGAGCAACAGAACAATGTGAATAAGTCCAACTGTTTAGTCCTCAGCATGCTCCCTGCTGCAACAGGCCCTGCAGACCCCAAAACAAGAGAGCTCCTATAAAAATGGATAATTGACAAGGCCACTAGTCCATTAAAACATCCTAAAATCCCTCACTAGGCTCAACCCATTTCTCTCACTACTGAGATTTTTCATATTATACCACAAGCACTGATTCAAATTCAAACTTTTGCTTATTTTGAATTTTTCTTAAAGCAAATTGCCTCAAAACAGTGCAAAACAAATCAAACCTGTGCAATAAGGCCTACCACTACAATATCTCATACATACATTTTATCACAAAAACAAGAATTCAAAATGAAATGACAATAACAAAAACAATAAATGATTAAAAAAATAATATAATAATATAATAATAATATCAATGATGGTGTTAACAAAGCATGGACATGCACGGCTTAACAGAGGAGAAGAGACATTCCCCTGTAGGACAAAAACAAAAGAATTATCAGACAGCAGTGTCTGTTTTAATGCTTTTTTTATTCCTGACCCCCCACCACAACACTTCTGCTGCCTCTATTGGTAACACCGGCCCGAGCTTGGGGAGCAGGGAACCGGGGTGCCAGAGGGGTGTGTTAGGAGTGTGTCGTCTCACAAGGGCTCAAGTAGCCATCTGCCACCCTACTCTAGCCAGCCTGATCCTTATCCTCAGCCCAGGCCAGCCCAGCAGGCCTGCTGTCTCATCCCCACAAAAAGGCTTCTGCTGGGGAGGTGGGGGTGGGGTTGAGGAGACAAAGGCAGGGAGGAGCAGTGGGAGCTGGGGAGCTCCACAACGAGACCCTTTGACCTGGTCCCCTGGCCCGGCGAGGCAGACAGCCCAGACAGACAGCACCGTGTCTACTGCCTGCCTCCTCCTCCTCCTCCTCTTTTATCAGCCACACAGACCCCAGGGGCTGACAGAGAGACAGAGGTGGGGGAAGGAGAAAGAGACAGAGGGAAGGGGAGGGTGGCGGGGCAAATGAACACAATGAAGAGACTGACACGCACTGCCCTGATCACCCTCCTTCTTCCCCCCTCCATTCATCTTTGGGCACAGATCTCTCTATTCCCTACGGATAGGCTGCTGCCCTCTCCTCCTCTCCCCTGTGTGACCCCCCTCTCCTGTCTGTTCCCTCCTTTACCCCTCATCAGCCACATCCAGGCAAGCTCCCACACTCTGTGTGGCCAAGCACGCCCCTACTGGCCATCTATTCACTAGTGTTTTCTGAAATTTGTGTCAGATAGGCTTGTCATTGTTTTAATGTCACATGTAGTGTTGCCAGGGTAGCTGAGGGCTACCTGCCTGGTGGCGGGCATGTGGTTTGTTTGTGGCAGTGGTCACTTATCTTGGAGAAATTATCGAATTTGTACAGTTACCACGTGAAGTATATATTTGTTTCGAGAGTGACATTGTCATTAACTTTCTGTTTCGTGGTAAAACGAGAAGAGCGGACTGTTGCGCAACTGGAAAATGTCTCTTCTCCTCCCGGGGGAGCTGGCACCTAGGCAGTGGTGGTGAGCTTTTGGATGGTACGGTTGTAGTACTGGGTGGTGAGAGCCTCCAGGGGGCTCCAGCGGTGTGCATGCAGCTCGATGACCTCCATAAGGAGAGAGCGGGTCAGCTGAGATTCGGCCGGACAAAGCATCTTGTCCCTGACGGCTGCTAGGAGTTCTGTCATCATCTCTGGCAGCTGCTCTTCCAGGAGACGCCCAGCGCTCTGCAACTGGTGGAGAGGAAAGGGATAGAGGGAGGGAGGGAGTCAGTGAGGAGGCAGGAGGTCAGAGAAAGTGTGTGGGTCCCTCACTGAGAGCAAGACACAACGTCTGGCACCTTGTTACTGTGGATACAGTCGGACAGCAGAGGTTCACACACCCTCTGGCCATAGAGCTGTGTGTGTGAGGGCCTGCTGGTAAATAATCAAGGTTGCAAAGGTTGGAGTTGTGTTTGTGAGCATCCGGAAACTGTTTTCTGACCAGAGCACACCTGTCTTTGTGCTTTCTGTTCTTTTACAATGTATTCTGCTCTCGTACAATTTTATCTATAATTCTACTTAAATTCTCCAGCATTACTTTATTATTCATAAACCTGAGGAGAGTGGCAGGGATGGTCAGAACATAAACTGCTTTAGAATATCAAAGATGCAGTGCAGACCTCCATATCTTTTTCAATACTGACGTTAAAGCTGAGACTTGGCACTTTAATGTAGTATCCATTATTTTATTTCAAATTGAATCTGCCAAAGCACAGAGCCTAAAAAAATGTGTAACTGTCTAAATACTGGACTGTATGTGTTTGAGATGGCTGTGCACAGTTACTACACTACACTATCATGGATTAAAATAAAACATGGGCTTCATGGGTGTAAATAGGTATGTTGTTAGAATTTGTAGAACTGGACATTTTGGTCAGTCCGCACATAGGGACAGACCTTCAAAGGGCTGTTTGAAGGTTAAGACTTGTTTTTAGGTTCGTGTGTAGTGGTGGTGGTGATGGTGGGGTGGGGTACATACCTCCATGGAGCAGCAGAGGACTGCGTCTTCCTTAACGTCTGTGGACTCTAACAGCTACAGGGGACAAGAACAGACACTATGTGAATATAGAGCAAAGCAAAGAGCTGCACAGAATAAAATAAACTAAGAGAAATACAAATGTAGTATTGTTACAACAACAGGTCTAGCATAGTGACCAAAATCTAACAAGGCTAGCAGATGTATAAATATATTTATATTTGGGCACAGGCCACACAAGGAGATTAAGCAAATGCAAGTGTTTGCATGTGTTAATCAGTTCACAAGAGAAGGGGAAAAAAAAGAGAACGACCTAATCCCGATTGTAAATATTTTCTACATTAACATTTTAAATCTTGGAAGACAACAGACCATGCTTTCATCCTGCCAAGCTGGCTGATCATCACACATCAAGGCTTGCTTTATGCACACTGTATATCCACACACACACACACACACACGCACACACGCACACACGCACACACACGCACACACTAAATACCAATGTACACACACAGTGTAGCCAAAAACAAACAGTGGAGCTGGTAAACATGTTAGCTGGCTTTTCCCCTCATGCTGGCCCCATGCACAGATGGGCATACAACTGCCACTTTTTAACAATGCAGGGAGGGATGGCAACAAAGGGAGGCAGAGCGATAGAGTCAGAACCTGCTATGTTAAAACTATGGGCATTTACTGTCAGATTATAGATTAAACACTCCCTTTTTCAGATCTGAGGCCATTTTATTTCTTACAAGTCTGTTTCCAAAGTGGCACTTTAATTAACCTGAAGAAGGGAAGGAAGTAACAGGTTGTTAACAGGGGGAGGTTGTTTTTGCTGGAGTAATGCCTAATTAAGCATTGGAAGTGTAGACCTGCTGCACAATGAGGTAAATAAGGTATAAATGCAGGGTACAGGCACATAGTTATGGAAACAGTAAGTGAGATAATGCAGTGAATACACAGGAAACCAACGTGTTTACGAGCAAGATTGAAGTGTGACTTTAATGGTCTATATGTGATATTTTTTTAATATATTTTTGATAATAATCAGTGACAATAATGTGAAGTCAGTGTTAAAGTCACTCATAGTGATGAACCTGCAGCTCCCCTTGACGTTTGCAAACACGCCAAATAACCCAGCCGATGTCTCTGTTTAATTTGAACATTTTTAGCAGAACTCCATACACAGACTAGAGTACCCCTAAATGCATGCTGTAAGGAAGAGCTCCAAGAAAAACACTGTCATGGAAACACTGTCTGAATCTTTATAACTGAAAAAGAAACAGAAATCAGCACCATCTGATGCTAGGATCCTGTAAGATTAATGGTACCTATCATTCAGGCCCAGCGGTTGTGCAGACGTCAGCTCCTCAGTATGCTTAGACGGGTGTGTGACAGTGTAGCTGTTTGATGTGGGAACACAAGTCTCGTCGCTTCCAGAGTAGGAGAAAAGTGTGACAAGCAGGATTAGCTCATAATGAGTTCTCTGGGGAGCTGAGGCTGAAGTTTTCCTCAATACGTTTAAAATGGTCTAATCTATACTTACTGTATCTATTATCTGCTCTCCTATCCATCGCAACAGCTGTTTTTTCTTTTCTTCAACTGTTCTCCAATGTGATAGTGCTCCTATTGTTCCTACTCTAATATAAGTAGAAAAGGAACATCTGCAGAAGAAACTGTTTCTCTAAGACTGCTTAACTCACAGTCTCTCTACAGAAGCTGAAAACAGTCAGCCAAATCTCTGGTTAGTTACATCATGAAGAATCAAAGCTCGCTGCACTGGGAAACCTCAAGATTCTGTGTCATTTCCATTTACACTATTTTCATTCAAAAGACATTTGATCAGGAACATAAAAAGCAACAAAAACTAGGACAGCCGTGATCCTCTTGTAGCACTGATAGGAAGAAACGCACCCAACATGACAACAACACCTTGAGTGACTTGGTGAAGTCAACGAGAAAAACATTCTCATTTAATTAAATGGTGTGCTGAGGCTTTATCTACCTTCAGTTTGACTGAGGTAGATGCATCTATGTTTGTATGTGTTGAAACCTGTCATCAGACTGCTGACTAAAAAAAAAAAAGAGAGGATTAGAGAAAAACATTTTTCATCAAGATTATGACTACTTCAACTTTAACCGGGTTTCACATTGTTGCATAGCAACAGCAGTTCTAGCGTCAGGAGCAGCACTTCCCTGAGTTACATTACATAAGATTACTCTATTTGTGTTGCAACGGTACTGAATTTTAGTAGGTCCTTAACAAAAAGACGTACTAAACAAAACTAACAAACAAAAAGTACAATATAACACACTTAAAGCTGATTGATACTCAGAATAAATACATATTCTTGACTCTGGGTTGTGAGGGCCCATGCTGTCTTTCAAAAAGGGAGAGCAAGGCACAATATAAATAGCTTCTGATGTCACCACCAGACAGTGTAAGTACATGCTTTCTGCAGTGTGCAACTGCAAACCAATATCCTGATGAAGTCCTCTGTGGGACAGATGCAGGTCATTTGCTTCAATAAAAGACGGTTTTATATTATAGATAATTAATAAGTGTCCTGGAACCCGCCCCCTGATTTTCCAGGACTATTAGACAGCGTGCAGGACTAGATATTTTAACAAGAATTCATTTTTTTCTTTCTGTCTCTGCAGTTTAGCACAGGCTATGTTTTACATATTTTTGTACCGTGGTCTGGGTAAAAATGAACTTCTGATAGAGGCCAGAGTAGGTGTATTTCAACTGTTTCAAGCACATGTTGTTTGGCTCAATCACTGTTCTAAATTTATACATCCACCACAAAGTTTCTTAACAACCTATGTAACCACAGCAACATGCTGAAGCAGAGGCAAGCCTAATAAACAAGCAGAAGAAAGGAAAAATTTGCTTCATAAATTTTCCATAGTGAGACCTTCCCCCAACAAAAAAAATGCCAATTTGATTTGCAGAACAATCTTCGCTGAGGCCCACAACTTAACTTTTTTTTTTTTTTTTTTTTAAATACCTTTGTATTTTTCCTAATGAAATTGCCATTTTTAACAGTTTCACCAAGTGCTACACATATTTAGAATCAGCATAACCTCAGCTAATGATGAATGTCACTCAAAGACTTCAGTACAGTATAATAGAGGTCACTAGCTCATAAAACAAATAAACCTTGAATTTTTCCTTATTTTATAGATTAAAAAAAAAAACTGTAAACCATAATAAAGAAAGTAAATAAATAAAAATAAAGAAATAAATTAATTCATAAATAAATAAATAAAAAATTCCACACTTAAAATTGCTCTTGTTTGATTTGTTCTAGAGTTGATTTGAAGTTTCTATCTTTATCTGTTTATGAGATATGCTTATTCTCTGGGGCAGTATTTAAGAGGTTTTTTGTCTGTTCTTTGAAAAATCAGCTCCAAATCCTCTGCTGCACTAAATATATGACAAGCCTCTGAATCAGACACTCTGATTGGCTGTGATGTCACCCACTGGAGCCAATAGGAATGTCTGATTCGGTCACATGACGCTAAACGTCACCGACAAAGAATGCGGATCAGAATCGATCAATAAAACACAGTGCCGGCCGACCAATTTGGTGCCCTAGGCATCGCATCGCATTCAATTTCATACCAACGTTCATACACTCACACTTCATAGCTTTGTCTTCAAGATTGTTTTCTTTTAAATAGAAAATAATCCACAAAATAAAAAACGTTTTAGAAACAAGTGACATAAATTAAATTATTGCACAAAATAAGATATTAAAGAAACCAAGGAATGCATTAAAAATTATTGCACAAACAAAAACTATTAACTGCAAATGCAATATGCATAATGTAGCTGCACAATGTGTTCTACAGCACATGTGGGCAAATTTTGTCTGGTGTGGACAATCCGCTAGTGTCTCTCTTTCATAGAGTCGATCCAGCCGTCTGTGTTGTGTGTCTGCCAAGGGGGATGGATAGTGTCCCTACCCAAGCGATTAGGTGATTACATGGTTTTTGTCTCCATTTGATATACACTCTGAAAGTGTCATTTTTGTTAGGCGAAAATAAAAGTATTGATTGTTGATGAATCTCACAAGTGTTATCTTTCTTTTGACAGATTAAGAAGATTGAAGATTATACATGTAGATATCAGCCTAGATGTTACTGACTAGGAGTAAATGAAGATGGCACACAGCATAAATGAACAATTTCATTTCAGTTTAGTAACTCTGTGTGACTATTACAAGCAAGGCAAACGTTGGCTAACCAGATGTCAGTGAAAATGTATGACACAGTCAGCAGGTGAAAACAACACCTGAATGGGCAAAACGTTAATATTTCCAAATTTCCCTGATGAATTTAAGGTGGGAGTAACATTAACTGACGTTAACTCTGGCTATTTATTGATTAGCAAACCACGTTACTATACCTACAAAAGTAAGCTAGCAAGTTAATACTCTGCTCCAACAACATCGATAACTACAAATGCAATAGACTATTTATTTCATCATGTTACTGTACCTTTGTCTTTTTCCTGTTTTTCCTCCTCTCCCTTTCTTCTTTTTCTACCCTGGGCTCCAGAGAGCTTTGGTTGTTTTAACATGATGAAAGATATAGCGTCTTTTCTGGGGTCGCGGCAGGTACCCAGAAAAAAAGGCCTCTCCTTATTAAATAGGCTTTGGTATGTAGTTATGTTGTTGTCTGGGCTTATGTAATATTTTGAAATAATAGTTGTGTAAGTAAATAGTAAAAGACATTTTGATTTTATTTCCTTCCCCCATTTGCGGTGCCGTCATACATAGGGGGCAGCATTTGCCTATACTGCCGATGCCACGGGCCGGCGCTGAATAAACACACAAGCAGCAATGTGCCAGACAAACTGCAAAACTAAATGTTGCATAACTTTTAATATTAGTGTCTCTATCGAAGTCAGTGATGACCTATGGTGATGACACACGGATGATCAAGGACTTGATAGAAAGCGCCGATCGTGTACTTTTAAGGAGAAAAAAATTACATGTCTCAAGCCCAAAAGGTCACGGAGCAATGCTGCTCTACAGATAATATGAAATTTGGAAGCGTATACTCTCCCACAGGCTTAAGAGGGTTAAAGATTCTCAAATCAATATTATATTATAGTATTATATAAATAATGGATCAAATGCCTGTGTGTAATGTGAAAAGAATTGGTCGTGGTGATGAACCTACACAGAATAATCATCCCACTCTGCAGTTCCCCCTACTGAGTATTTTCGCATCAGTCATTGTTTTGGTTCAGTTTCAGCACTCTTGTGAGCATCATGTCTAGAGGCAGCAGGGTGTTTAACAGAACAACATTAATAAACCGACGGCTGACCTGGTAGAGTGCGTATCATATAGTCCTAATTGCAGCGGCCATGGATACGATTCCGACCCACTGCCTTTTGCTGCATGCCATCCCCTCTCTCTTTCTCCCCCCGCTGATTTTCCTGTGTATCTCCCACTGTCCTATCTGAATAAAGGCAAAAATGCCCAAAAATTAAAAATTAAAATAAATAAATATATAAACCCACTGTGCACTACCTGCCCAGCAGGCGGCAAAGTTAAAGCGCCAGATATTTTCCTTAGGAGATGGTAGAGGCCAAAAACAGAGCCAAACAGGAGTGAATGATGGTCACCAGGTGGCCAGAAACCAGACTCCGAATTAATGTTAATGTTGCTCTGTCTGCTGGATGTGTAAAATGCAACTGTTTAACATGTTTGCCATATCAACTGAAAATATTTCAGTTTACAGCTTGTTGGGAATAAATAATAATAGTAATAATAAAAATATTAAAGCACAAGATAAAAAAAAAAAAATAATTCTGGCTCCTGACCATGAGGTGTAAGGGAATAAATAATGATTCGTTTTAAGGCTGCCTTCAATGCAGAATTAGTCAAGGATTATATCATGTACTGCATTTATATGTGGATTGTGGCATATATAAAAAAAAACACCATTGGTTTGTGTGAGACAGTTCGACCGTCAGAGGACAGGAATATTATAGCCTGTCAGTCATGAATGAATAAGATCACTGCTCATCAACTCTGTCTATGCATAATGCTGTCATGTGCACTCAAACACACACTGACACACCTCAGTTGTTACCTAATACTGTTCTGCAGGCTACATCTACAGAAGACAGCCACTACAAAACGCACTGCCATACACACACATGCAAGGACATATGCCTGCACAACATGCACGCAGACACACACACACGCACACGCAAACACGCAAACACACACACACGCAAACATTATGGCACATGGCTTGTAGCTGGAGTCTGACATGTTACAGCAGGATAGTCAAAACAGCAGATGGATAAAAATTAGGAACAATGGCTCTGGGAAATAGATTGTTGAACAACCACATGAGCCCACACACACATACACACACACAAACTGTGATAATGCCCTAGGCATACACTCAGACAGGGTGTGGATGGCATTAGTAGTGTGTGATTGTATTTGGTAGCGAGACGCAGGGTGTGTGTTGAGCGTCGGGCCGGCAGAGGTGTGGACGTGGGCTGTAAAAGCACCTGCCACGTGCCTCAACCCTGTCATTATTTCTACTGTAATGCTCTAAACTACATATTAAAAATGATTTTCACTCCCAGATTCTGTCACTTCCCTCCACCTTTTCTACCTGTCGTGCAATCAGTAAACTTCCTGCGCACCAACTGCCATCCTGACCACAGTACCCCCCCCCCCACAAACACACACACACACACACACACACACACACACACACACACACACACACACACACACATCCCTATGCGCTTCCCCTTTCAATATTCCATCTGTCATTAACCACTTCTGTATTGTGGTATGTCTGCTACAGCTACTCTGTATGGTTTCCATGGTGTGCTTAACAAAGCATGACCAGCTGATGGGAACCGAACCTGGGGTCACGTATTTTCCTGGAACTGATAGTGTCCCGACTGTTTGCACCACAAACCAAACCCAAATGTGGTGTCTCAAGTCTAGACTAGGTCTGGCCAAAAACAGGAAACTCTGGTTTGGTGCGTGTATCGATCTGAACAGACAAGATGTACAAACAGAGCTGGACACTTTCCTCTTACTAGTGGACACATGGATGATGTTGTTTGATTGGTTATTGACATACTTTGATCATAAAGGTGCAGATCTGGATACAGACCTCTCGTAGGCAGGTGTAGATTGGACACACCAGCACCCTGAATGGCTCTCCAGAGCTGCTCCTCATGGTGCCAAACACCTCACACAAGAAGGTGATGAAACCCAACCACCTCTCCACATCTGACTGCTGTAGCTCCTCGCGACGGGAGAAATCCCTCTGTGGGGAGGGGTAGGAAGAGAAAGACACACAGACAGATGCAGATTTAGTTTGGAAAATACACAGACAGATAAGCTTTCATAAATGTGTAATACAACTTCTATGTAGGCAGTGGGTAGGTGGATATTTAAGTGTTTCATAAATTCATCAGCCGCAGAGGTAATCACCATTAACATCTTTACTATCTCTCTGATGGGGAGTTTTTGTAGGTGGCACACATATTAACCTTGCGGTGCTTTAAGTACTTAAAGCCAAAAAGCTGTTGAAAAACACATTAAACAAATTCATGAATTTCTTTTATCTGCCAAAAGTAGAGGAGAATATGTTAATTTGGTTTGAAAGTGAAGGGTAGTGAACTGTGTCAGTGTTGTAAAAGTGTTGGGGTTAATATGGGTTAATGCTTAATGCGCACTTGTAAAGATGTTATACAGCAGGTTAAACTGAAGCTTTATTAACAGTCAGAACAACTCACTCTGCTTCTCATATTTTTCCAGAGTGTCCCTCCTATTATTGTGGACTGAGGTGAACTGGAGACACGAGCGGTTTATATTCTCACAGAATCGTACAACTATGCTGAAGGCCTGCATGTACACAGACATGCACAAAATATGCAGCCTTGAATGGATCCAAGAGAAAATTCACTCACACCATCAAAAACAAACATACCACACACACTCAAAAACAACGACACACGCCTTTCATAAACTTCCAAGGACATCGCCATGGTATTTGACACTTAAACAACAAGCCAGCAAAAGGGGGAGACACACACACATATATAAAAGTAATAGCAAGCGTTAGCAGTAGCAAAGAGAAGCTTAGGTAAGAAAAAAAGATGATGGAGGAGCCAACAGCATTATTGGAAAAAAGTCACTCTTCTCAGCCGTGCTAAATAAAGAGAATCTTTCATAGGTGGAAGTCTGGGTTTGTTTAATCAAAGCAACAACAAACCCCAATGCCTGTCGTTTAATAAGCAGAGCGGTCGCACACTAATTACCCCCATATTGAGATCCAGGGGTCTGGAAGCAACATCATTAATGATGGCCTTCATGAGCCCACTTATGACATTTAAAATGTTTTAAAAGCAAAAAAGCCAAAATGTCAAAGACAAGGAGGGGGTCCATGCTGGCTGGGAAGTGGGAATTAAAGTGAGAAATAAAGGAAGGGGCGGGACCACACAGCTGTGATAAAGGGGGAATAAATAAAAATTGATGGTAGTGGGGGGGGATTAAGAGGATTAAGGCAGGATTGACTACTGCTGAGTCTGGGATAAAATCTCACATCTAAAGAAAGAGGTGTTTAAATGGAAAAACACAAAAACAGAACGGAGGACAGAAGAAGATGTGGATGAAGAAAGCATCTGCAGGAGGAAGAAAGAGGAGTGTGAAAAAGAAGAAGAGACACGACGAGGCAGCAGGTGGATTAACATTTAGACTTTGAATGTCATCTGAAGACAGCATGTATGTCTTGTTTGCCTACTTCTAGATTGTCTGCCGCTCTGGTGAGGTTGTCTGGCACACAGAATGGAGCAAGGGGTGAAAGGGAGGAGAGTGGTTAGAGAGAGGGAGGGAGGGATGGGAAGAGTGCAGGGAGAAGTAGCAAGGCACTGGCCCGTGTCGTTCTGGGGGAGCACGGGAATAGAGAGCTCATGAGGGACGCAGAGGGGGGAGAGGGGGAAGGGGAGAGCGGCAGTGAAATATATAACGGCTGAGAGGATGTTTTCATCATGGGTGCAAGACTGGAACAGTGCTGTAAAGTGAAGGAATGGAGGGTGAAGGAGGGGTGGGAGGGGAGAGGTCTCTCTCTCTCTCCCCTGGGTGTTTAGATTAGCTACTTTGCCCACTGACATTTACAACATCACACACACAGTTGGCTTCCGCCTGAAAGTGCTTCTCGTAAAACTAAGGGGGGATTGAAACAACTAAATTACAGAGGGGATTTTGTTAAAATATGCAGTATAAACAATTAATGGTTTGCCAAATACATACAGTTTTATCAAGTGCTACTATCTTAAAATGAACTTTGAAAGGGCATTTTGATAGCACCTTGTTTAAAGGTATCTACAGGTAAGAGATAACAAGCCATTCATCAAATCTAGTTATTAAATTGGAGCAGAATTTGTTAAACCGAAACAGTTATCTGAATACAGATGAAAATACTGAAGGAGAGATGACTAAAGCTTGAAGCAGCAGAGAGATCACCCCGCTGCTATGATTCCCTCCTTGAGCTCTCACCTGCAGCATGTTGAGGAGCAGCGATCTGAACTTGGTCCCCTCCACCATGAACAGCGCCATCTTGTCACATAGCTTGGCAGCTGTGGCAGCGAAGCTCCTGTCTGACACGGCCTTGGAGTAGATTGTGCTGACCACCTGAGCCAGGGTTTCCTCCGACCGCGCTGAGCACTGCGCCTCCTCCATGAAAGAGGCCAGCTGCTGCTCCACCCCGCTGCTGTTGCTCCTCATGCTGTTGAGAAGGTCCACCAGCCGGTCCATGTTCTGTGACCCGGAGCCTGACGCCTCCACACGTGCCTCTTCCTGAGGCGGGAGATGAGAAAGGACATTAGTGATAGGTGACTGGTGATGATGCAATATTCACTTTCATCATTGGTTTGACCACAAACTCTAAGTTTCTAAAGACAAAATGAATGATGTAAGCCAATTTTTCACACATAATATGATAAGTGATGAAGCAAGTCAATTAGTCCAAATGGAAAAGATAAATTAAGTTCATAAGTATATATTTCAGGGTTTGTGGGGTGACTTTATTTCTTAAGGAGTAGTTGCTCACGTTACATAAGCATGAATGCAACACGTGGTGTCCTACATACATACATACATACGTGCATGCATATATATAAAAATCTAATTGTTATTTCTATTTATTGAGCTACTCTACAATCCCTCCAAGTACTCCTGGTTGGGAATCACTGTGCTAATGTATACACCACCATGACAAATGACACTCACCTTGCTTTCACGTCAGTAGCACATAATCCACAAGACAAGAATCCCAATCTGTGGCTTGTGACATGTAACCAATACACCAGTTCTTATTTTACGATCGTATTTATGTTTCTTATTTATGTTCATAATACTTCCAGTACAGCACATCCCAATCAGGCAAAATGTGGCCCTTAGACTGGAGTCATTGATTCACTGGCATCACTGTGGACATGTTTATTAAATCCTGCCTGCTTGCTGCCTGCTGGAGATTCCCATGCTGTCAAATCAAACCACCCCTGGTAGGTAATGAGTCCACTGTAGAGGGAGGAAGCTGAGAGCGGCACCACAGCAGACACAGTGGAAAACATCAAAACTGTTTAACTGTTAATGCTGCTTTAGTTTCTTCACCTCCTCAGTGAGAACATGTACTCTCCTCCTCCTTGCCAGTCGGAGTGTGTGTCAATCTGGATGCTACATAGCTAAGTAGAAATGACTCAAGCAAAGCAGTGTGAGAAAAGTGTGTGTCTACATGTCTGTATATTAATGACAGTGTGCATGAACATAATGAAAGTAATTATAAGACCAAAAGCGTGTGTGTACACATACACATTAGTCCTGATTGCCTTAATACTGACTGACAGGCACTAAGCAGCTTTTCAGTACCTTGTCCTTTAGTCTCCTCCTCAGCCTCTCCTTTGACGACTGCAGCAAGCTGATTTTGGGCTGCTCCGACTGGCCCTCGTTTGCCTTCCCACTTCCTGCTGGGTTGGGAGATTCCTTATTAACTGTCAGATCTGGGAAAGCATTTGTAATGAGTGTGGACTCAGATTTGGGTGATTCATTGGGACTCTTACTGCTGCAGTCTTGAGGCGGTCTGATCTGCTCGTCACCAGGTTTTACATTCTCAGTCTCTTTGTCTTTGGTTGTTCTCTGGGGTACTCCTTTATCGCCTGTAGCGTTTGACTGTCCGTGCCCCTGACCTTTCTGATTGTGGTGCCAACGCCGGTTCTGGCTGTATCCGTGGTGTGGAGGTCCTCCTTGGCGCTGCCCATGTCCTCCTTGGTACTGGCGAGGCGGTCGGTCAGCACTATTATTTCTGTTCTCTCCCAATTCTGTTGAATTCTGCTGCTGTTGGTTTGGAGCCTGCTGTTGGGTTTGATCCCTCTGGTGCTGCGGTGACTGTTGCTGTATCTGCTGAGGCTGGTTCTTCCCTCCTCCGCCGCCTCCTCCTCCTCCCTGAGGCCGCTGCTGTCTCCTGGAATGAGAGCAGGTTTCAGTTAGCTTCATAGTGATGTAGCAGCAGCTGGCTCGTACCTTGCTTTACTCTGACCACCTCTATATATCACACTGGCACCATGATGGCCTAAAAACCTCGTCCCAGCCCCTCTGTCCCTCCCAAAATTCACTATAACTTGTTACACTACTGTACATGAATTTCCCCTAGGGGATAAATAAAGTATCTATCTATCTATCTATCAAAAAATGGTCAATTTTCTAGTTTTCCTCAACTGCTTATCTAGTCACAGTGACTAACACTAACACTCTTCAATAAATATTACTATCATAATTTCAAAACCAGACACAAACAGTAATCTATCATCTACTGATACAATATTTAAGTAGCTAAAAATTCAAAAGCCTGGTGTCTGCTTACATGTGGATGCACAGTGTGTCTCTGTTTTCCTGTCCTGCATAGCTCTGTGCTTTTGCTGCACTGGCTCTGGGCTTGACAAGCCGCTGACATATGGTCCAGGGGATTAGTCACCCTGGCACCGAGGAGGCAACCTATTATCTGCCTCAGCCTGTGAACTAGCACAAACTCAGCGAGCAGCAGCCAGCACACCTTTGTTCTGATTCAGTTGAGCCCATAACTGCTTTTTACACCTTGACATTTTGCAGGCTGTGTATAAATGCTTGATTATCTGGAAATTAAGGAAATCAAGGCCTGTTTCAACAATAACAAGTGTGTAAGTAAATGAAGGAGATTTGCGTCATTTGTGCATAGGAACGGATACAACCACCAAAAACAGAACCAAAACAGCAGTCTGCAGCTTCACAGCAGAGTGTGATGTACTGTGTATGTGACACATTCCTCCCATAACAATTATTAAAGTTTTGTGCAACTTGTGCCACAGTAACCCTTCTGTCAGTTCGGACCAGACGGGATAACCTTCGTTGCTCTCACATATCAATGATTTGTCGATTCGTCCGTCCTTGGTACTCACCACGGCTGAGCAGCAGCTCCCCACAATCCTTGACATTTCAGAGATGCTCCAGTTGTCTAGCCGTAAACATTGTCAAAGTCACTTAGATCTTAACTAAGTTGCCCCATTCTCTTATTGGGAGCACACAGTTAAAAACAGAGACCTACAGTAGTTAGTTGCACTTGTCTATCAATCAGCATGCTTCAGCAGCAACATATGCTTCGCTATAGTAAACTTTATTTTACCTCCTCAGCAACACCAGATACCGAATTTGGTATGTGGTGCCCGACAAAGCACTTTAATAAAAACAAAAACAAAAACAAAAAAAACAAAAAAACAAAAAAACAAAAAAACAAAAAAAAAACATATAGCACACATAATCATATTAGCTGTGTCTTAAAATGGACAGTTTGAATAGGACCGCAAGAAACACGCTGCTTTTGAGTCTTAAAAAATAATACTTTTGTTCTGTTTGCATATGTGATGAATTCATTGACAATTCAGTGGGTGTTTTTGTTTGTTAAAAATTGTACAAAATGCACCAGAGCTCCTTGCAGTTAAACTCAAGCTCTTTGAAGACTAGGGAAAAAGATTCTTTTACAAAGAGATAGTACAAAGAAAAAAAAATTATAAAAAAAACCCCAAAACAAAACAAGAAAACACAAAAGCAAAATCTGTTACATCCATTGGGCTGTGTAAGCCTTGTGGGAGGCTGGATTGACAAGCTAAGAAAGGCATGTTGTAAGAGTTCATCAATGCCAAGACTGCAATGTGGATAACATCATTCCTCATAAAAGCCTTTCCTTGCACTTTTTAATTTAGCAAACCTTCAATAGCTTGATTTTTTAGACCAAAACATAAAAAATGAATGAGCAAGCCAGACATTTTTGAGGCTTCAGAGCAAAAGTACACAAACTATTCCACCTTGTGAAAGAGAACTTCGTACAAAGTGAAAGTTCTCTTTCACAAGGTGGGCAAAGACATTCCACCTCAAAAGTCAAGTTTGCAAACTAATTCACTTAACCCCAAATAGTATAATATTAGGAAAACCTTGGTAATTACCTTGGAGATTTTCTTTGATCTTAAAAGAAATCTAGTATAGTCATATGCACAAGTTAAAAACAAATTAACAAACTTGGCAGAATTTTACAGACTGCAGCATTAATACATGGTGGATTTTATTAAACCTGCAAAATAAAAAAGTGATGGATAATGGACAATGCCTCTATTAAATAAACATTTCAGTCATTGAATGTAAGGTCTGGGGAAAATAACTTAGAGATAAACCGGTAAATAACACCAGTAGCCTATTTTTGTATTGTATTTCTGTATTACACAGTGGGTGAAGACTAACAGAATATATGTACAGTCTTAGATTTACTGTCCAGTGATGAATACTAACCTTTGTAAAGATGCACCTCTGATTAGTTTTGAATATGTAGTTTGTGGTGTTGTTATTGAATTGCTTAATACTGTTAACCTTTATATCCTTGAAATCTGAATATCTTTGTATTTTGGGATGTTGGCCATGCAAAAGAAAAAAAATAAGATACACTGAGGTCTAGGAAATATTGAAGAGCATTTTGTTCATACTTTTTTTGACAACCTGGTTACTGAGAAAATAATGAGCAGATTAATGAAATGGTAATGAAAATGGTTTGGAGTTGAAGCCCTAGTTGGCTTTTCTTTCAACTGTCACCCATCTGTCTTGTGTGTGTGTGTGTGTGTGTGTTCACGATGAAGAAGCAGAGTGTATTTATAGTCTTTTTTGTGTGTGTTCATTTGGTTTATGTCTCGCCTGGCCTCCCTGCTCCAGTCTCTTGGGGAGTTTGCGAGTCAGTTCATCTTCTGACTCTCTCCTGTACCCAGCAGCCTGCCTCCAACACTTTGCAAATGTTCTCAGCATGTCAGATGTGTGTTGCCCTGAAAGAACTTTTTAATAACATAGTTAAGTCCTTCTATAGTAAACAATAGGTGGTTTTCCATCTAAATATATCTCAAACGTTAAATCAATTTTGAGTAATTCTGCAAAAGAAAATGTGAATTAATGCACATTTCCATCCACTACTGTTATGCAAATATTAGGAGTTGGTTTGCTGAGATAAACAGCTGGTGGTGCTAACTTTCCAGTCAGATGCTATTAAACCATTGCAGAAGAAGATGACGTAATTACAAGAGCGACTGTCAAACTTAAGATTGGTGAAAACAAATGTAGAAAAAATGATGGAAATGTGGCATTTCTGTTTTTGAGGAATGGTCCAATCTCATCTGTTTTCATCTGCTGCTATTCTTTATCTCTTCTTCGGACGTTTAAGTCACGATTCATAGTACACCCTCTTGTCAGGCACTCCCATCAGCATCCTCCAATGTCTCTCTTTTCTTTTCTCTTAATTATTACATGGCTGCTTATCAAGGTTTTTCCTCATCATCAAACGCAGTGTATTAGCTTAACACTGACTGACAGAAATAGTTTGAAAGAGATTTTATTTTATTTGACTGCAGAGAGTGAGATTTCATAATCTTTTGCAAAGCCATAGACTGCTCAGAGACACCCTAAGAGTTGAGGAGTACAATGCCTCCCTCTCGGAAACAGACACATTCACTCATCTGATGATTAATTTGATCTCTACAGTAGCTGTTAGTTCTGGCTAGGCTCTAATAAGACATTCCCCTGATCTACTGGTGATGCGGAGAGGTGAAAGTGAGACAGTAATAAAATGTTAATCATATTTAATGACCGTGAGCTCTGCAGTAGCTTGAGTGTTGCTCGGCTTGACCATATATCAGTCATATTAGTGCCAGGGAGATGTTTGCATTAAGGATAAATGATGGGGCCACTGATGAAATTTTATCTCACAATATCTTGTTACTTAAACAGATCATGTCTGGCGTGATTAACTGTCTAATCAAATAAGAAAATATATTTTTTTTTTGGGTTGAGAGGATGAGTCTGGTAACATAAACTTAGAGTTCAATTAGTGTTAGATGTTGCCTGTTTGGATCTCCTCTTTATTTTCATTCAAACTACTTCTTATATTGAACTATTCAAGTATTTCATGGAGAAAAAACAAACAAACACAAGAGGAGCTCTTTCTTCTTGTCTCACCATTTATCAGCTGACCTTTAGATGCTGAGGCTTCGTTAAGGAGGATAAAGCAAATGCAAATTACAGTGTGTCACATGTTGAAAATCCATTCACGTTCCATTTCGTGCTCTGGGTCTGGGCTTACATGTGGTCACTAACCTGGCTGAGACTTGCCGCTTTCCCCCGGGGCCAGTAGGCAGAAGTATGGTTAACTGGTCTCGGGTGAACAGATCAACCACTCTACAAGCAGGAGAAGAGGGTATGCCACAATGCAAGTGATTGGAGGAATGGAGGAGGACGAGGGATAAATGAAGAGTGTAGTAAAGTGTCAGAAAAATTTGAAGAGAACGGCAAGGGAATTATTATAGATTTCAGAAGAGAAACAGGAGATTATAAAAGATATGGAGGAAGGGAGGGAGCGGCGAAGCAAAGAGGGAAAAAAACAAAAAAAAGAAACTACAGGTTCATAACTATGTCATTCAAACAACATGCATACAGGAAGAAGAATGCTATGGAAACTAAAAAGGTGAAATGATTTGGCAGATGTCATCATGGAAGGAGGTAGGATGGTGATGATCGATCATGGCTGTTGCTAGGTGTACGTGTGTGTGGATGGAGATTTCATGGACCCATTGGACCATTGGTTGACCCAGACTAGAGAATCGATTGGCCCAGGGGGAAGAGAAGCCTGCAGGCCAGACAGTCAATAACTTCATACAGGCCACAACACACTGCTTTAATGGACTGTGGAGAGACAGGTTTTGACTGTCTGACGGAACATTTGCATCACTCTTTACACAGTTTTTTTTTTGTTTGTTTTGTTTCTTTTTCCTTTTAAAGTTTTAAGATTCAAAATCAAAGCTTACTGTGTGTGTGCATACATGACTGCATAAATACATTGCAGATTACAATCAATAACTTTGAGTCATCATGCCCAGAAGATATAAGCAGAAAAGCAAACTGTTCATCGTAGGTGCAGAAAAACCAGCAGACCTGGGGCCAGATGTATAAACAATGCGTGTACACGAAAGCCATGCACACACCATTTCTCACACATGAACTGATATTTGTTTAAAAGAAAAATGTGTGGTGCGAATGTATACGCAACACACATATTTCAGCTCACATGTACACAGTTTTCTAGAGCCAGCTGCGGGGGATATGATAAGGAAAAGATTAAATATAAGGTGAGAGGCGTAATCTAAAAGTAAAGTAGTTTAGTTTGTTTGCACAGTTCACTCACTGTGTTATTGGTTTTGCAGTGTTCACAACAGGGCATTTCAATCCAAAGGTGCACTTATAAAAATATATTTTAAATAATTATTAGGGAGTAGGGATGTCACCGACAAGTTACAGACAACCAAAAACCAGTATGCAAATGGTTTCACAGAGCATTTCGAATAAAAGCTCAAGCTCAAACTTAACTAAACACTTCAAAAACAGACAAACCGAGTCTGTACACAGGATTTAGGGTGAGTGAGTTTTAATTAACAACATGTCGTCAAAATTTTTATATCCTGAAATGCTAGCGGTATTGTTTGTGAGATGCAAGGAAAGGTTCACAAAGGTAAACGCAATCTTTTAGGCAGCTTCATCCTTTATTGTTTCTTACTGGATGCCTACATGTTACTGTTGTTGCTGGAATGTTATAAGTATTAAATAAAAGTGTTTATGTTGAAAAAAGTTCATTTTCTTGATTTGTTGTTTGCCGTGGTATTGAATATGGTATTTGTGATGATCAAATTACTGGTATTGTGACATCCCTATTTAAGAGGGAAAAATTTTATCATTCTATTATCCATATTCCAGACGTCATTTCCTCATTCTAGGAAAACATTTTGCAAAGTCTTTTTCAATGACTGCTATAAATTAATCATTGATCATCTTTCTGACCATTGATGATGGTTTATAGGTACATGTCATTATGTATTTTGAAATGTAATTTGTTAATAGTACAGGCATAACAGTTGCAACAGCTGTTCAGGTGCTACTGGAGAACCTTACCTATGTGACACAATAGGTAAAATTGCACTTTGCCATTCTTGTTATTGACAGGTCTAATGAAAAGTGGAAAGGTAGAAGTTTTCATATGCAAACAGCTGATTAGGTGTGTTTTTACATAGATTCCCTGCTAACTGTGGGAGTGGGAATAAGGCGTGTGCATGCGCGCACAGTTCCACAGTGATTGAGGTTTATGAAACAGAACCATGCATATGCACACCTTCAGAAATCTGACACAAGCATGCATATGCATATTTCTGTCTTTGTGCATCATCACAGACTTCGACACACAGTGTTATGCGTCTGGCCCCTGTAGTTTACTTTTACTCGAGTGCATAAATGCATGCATGCACACACAGCAGACATCATCATGATCACAGAATAGATAGTGAATTGGTGCTTGGTGTAGTTAAACATTTCCGCAGTTTACATGATACTTGTTTGTTCAGCTTATCATTTTATAACAACATTGTGTGGAAAGTACATGCTCCATCAGGCAGATAGGCTTAGTGTTTGGTGTTAAAATCATCTTTCTTCGATTGTAAGTACAGTGAAATTGATGCTGTGTAGGAGGTGAACTTTTAGTAAAACAGACAAAATAACACGTACATGTGTAAAAGTTCCTCAATAATTCACTGATTTTTTTTTAGAAAGAGGGAAAAAAGGGACGATAAAGAGCATATTAGCTCCTTTTTTGCCCCTTTTCTGTTTTAGAGCAGAAAGCAGTAAGCAGCACATTCCAGTAAATCACAACTAATTTCAGCCCTGCTTGACGTGCCTACTAAAGTAGAAACACATGCACTACCTCCCCTTTCTTTTCCTTCCTGCCACAGCCAGCCTACACTTTTCCTTTACTCAATCTCACAGCTCTCACTGTGTTTCTCTTTCTTGTCCTTTCTTCAGTACAACCCTCAACCCTCATGCTTTGCACATATAGGGTCAATATTTATCTCCATATTTCATCATCTGCTTCCAACAAGTTTACATTTCACTTTATTTTCTTCACAGACACAAAATATAACACAAAACTAAATAAACACAACTCTAACATTATCTACGTGCTTTCTCTTTGCAATGAATATTTATTGCCTCAGGCTACTGGTTGTGTTCTGTCACAGAGCCTGAATGCTGAATATTGAGAATATCGACATAAGAGGATTACCATGTTTGATAGACAAACATATGCAGTTAATGTGTTTGATGAGCAAACACGCTGAGCTTCATAAAGGACAGTATGGAGTAATGATGGCTGTGGAGGCTGTTTTCTTTGTCAGTTCTCTAATACAATAACCTGTTTTCATACAAAGTCTCTTGGCCAGGTTGGACTGTCATGTTCATATTTTTCCTGGGTCCTTCCTACTGTGTATAAGAGTCTTCCTAACTGCCAACTATGATGACATTCTGCCTTCCTTTACTAAGCTTTCCACAAATGAATAAAGCCCATATTCATACTGTCACTGTTTTCATTTGTATATACATTCACCAAGCACTTCATTAGCAACACTTGTACTTGTACCTGCTTACTGATGCAATCAGCCAATAATGTGGCAGCAGTGCAGTGCATAAAGTCCTGCAGACACAGGCCAGGAGCTTCAGTTAATGTTAACATTTAACATCAGAATGGGTTGAAAAATGTGATCTCAGTGACCTTGACTGTGGCGTGGTTGTTGGTGCCAGACGGGCTGGTTTGAGTATTTTCTGAAACTGCTGATCTCCCGAGATTTTCATGCACGACAGTCTCTAGAGTTTTTACTCAGAATGATCCGAAAAACAAAAAAACATCCAGTGAGCTGCAGTTCTGTGGAAGGGAACGCCTTGTTGATGAGAGAGGGCAGAGGAGAATGGCCAGACTGGTTGGAGCTGACAGGAAGGCTACAGTAACTCAGATAACCACTCTTTACAACTGTGGTGAGCAGAGCAGCTTCTCAGAATGAACAACACGCCCAACCTTGATGTGGATGACCTACAACAGTAGAAGACCAAGTTGGACTCTCAGGCTGCAGTGGACACAGGTTCACCAAAACTGGACAAACATAGCCTGGTCTGATGACTCTTGATTTCTGCTGAGGCAGCAGATGGTAGGGTCAGAATTTGGCCTAAACATCATGAATCCATGGACCCATCCTGCATCGTATCAACAGTTCAGGCTGCTGGTGGTGGCGTAAGGGTGTGAGACATGTTTTCTTGCCACACTTTTTGCCCCTTAATACCAATTTTGAATGCCACACTCAACCCATTTTCTAATAGGTATTCTCCGTGCATAATGCATATTTTGCAGAAATGTTGTGATGCAGTCATGTCAACATGGAGCAGAATCTCCAAGAAATGTTTCCAACATCTTGAAGAATCCAAGCTATAAAGAACTGACGCTGTTTTGAGCAAAGGGAGGCCCAACCCAGCATTACTTTGGTAGTCCTAATAAAGTGCTTGGTGAATGTATGCATGTTACATGATCTGCCAGACGGACCAAAGGTAATTTTTCCACCTTATGAACAATAAAGTTCTATTCTATTTTACTCGCCTTACTTCTGTCCTCGCCCAAGCTCTCTTTGTAATTGTTGAATCCTGTAAAAAACCATCCAAGATTTCACATAGAGATCCCTTGAAGCAGAGATTTGATGAATGATTTTGTCAGTTGTTTTTGAGAACAGTTGGTGCTTCATTTCTCTGTCCAGTTTATGTAAGTTTGGTTATACAGTTGTACTGATCTGCTTTTCATGTCTGTCCACGTCTATTTATCCTGTGCCTCATCCCTCCTTTTGATATTCTTCATCCTAAGCTTCATCCTGCTTTCTCTATTGCTGCAGCGCAAATATATTTGGCCAGCCTGTGAGATGCCTGTCTTTAATGTAAGGAGACAGGAGGCTGCATGTAACCCCAAAACATTACCAGATGAGAGATTAATTCTAATACAAAGATAATGTGGGTTCACATTCTAGCCTGGTGGGACATCTGTATCAAAACCTTGAACAGCATGTACTCCCCACTGAAGCAAATTTAAGGTGTGGAAAAGATCGATGGAGATATTGTCAGATCAAGTGTTCAAATTTCAGAATGTCTGAGTCCATCACTATAAAGTCATTGAGCAGAAACTAACATTCATTTTTAGTCTTATTATATTGCATTTCTCATTTCTTGTTATTCAACCTTGTGATAAGAATTTGCTATTTCCAGGTATAGTCCTTAAATACAAGCTGTAAAGTTACTGAATTACTGACAAGATGTGCTTGGAAGCAGACTATATGAAAAAAAAAGATGATGTCTTGTTAATATTTCCAGTTTACAAAACAAATAGACTGAAACCTAAGCAAACTGATGTTGGTCCAAGTTTATATTTTTGTTCTTTTCCTTTTGCCAGGCCTGATCTACACCCATCAAACATAAACACAATAGCTCTGGACAGAACCAATTATTCTCTGTACTTAAAAACAAGGATGAAAGTGCTTTTGTCCATTTCGTATAGCTGAAATTTCCTCTTTTTAACCACAAATACAACCCAAATATTTTCTCTTTGCCTGTCTCTTAGCAACTGAAGAACAGTTTTCCAGTGACATCAGGGTAGAGAGTGAGAGAACGAGAGAGAGAGAGAGAGAGAGAGAGAGAGAGAGAGAGAGAGAGAGAGCTCGAGAGAGAGAGAGAGAGATTTTTTCTCTCTCTTAAGACCTGGTTTCAATGAAGTCAGACTTGGGTGAAATTAGATTTCAGAGTGTATACACTTAAGATGTGCCACTCAAATTTAGTGCGTGGCACATTTTGGATTTGGGCCAGGAAAACAGGTTAAATGTTGCAAAGCATGACAATCAAATACATATTCACAAAAGGAAAGACAGCTTGAGTGTTGTAGGTAAAAACAGGTGGCTGAGTAACTGGCTTAAATTTTTTTTAGAGCGCTTTTAAAAGTAAAAAAAAAAAAAAAAAAAAAAAAGAAATACCCTGAACGTTTCTGCAATGTTTTTTTTCTTTTTCCTGTCTGCAGTGAAGTGTGGAGCCTGCATTCCTGTCTTGACATTGCTTTGGCCGGGGAGAGATGTTAAGGCTATGGGACTGGCTGTGCACTGACATCTGACATCAACGCATAAAAAAACATTCCCTCTCACTGAGGTAGGTGTGTGTGTGTGTGTGTGTGTGTGCGCCGGCTTGCATGCGTCATTACCGTCGGTCATTCCTCCTGCGTCGGAAGAGCTTTTTGGTGTGTGCAATCTCAGCCTCATTAGGAAGGGGTGGGAAGACCTGTTAGAGACAAATCATAGAGTAAGAGACAGCTGCTGTCAAGACCAGCAATTTATATCACTATGGAAAGTATCCATAGAATTCTTCACCACTGCACAAGTAGAAGTACACTGAAACGTGCAAACTTTTCTCATGAAAAGAACACATAAATTCTAGGCTTTTTCTTTAGGAAGATGTTTACACAACCCTGCAGAGCTAAATGTTCATGAAAAATCTTGGATCACCATCAAAAGTGAACTTTTAATGCCAGAACTCTCACGAAAAGTGAAGCATTTTTATGTCCATGTTAATGTTCAAATTTTCTATTGTTTCATGCATGTATTATTTGTGCAAATATACTAACGAAACCTATATCACCTAAAGTCAGCAGTAGAATTACTGTACATCTCGATGGCTTCCATTGAGTGTGTTCAATGTAGGTGAATACTTTTCTTCTTTACTAATACTACAACGTAATGCTGCTGAACAGGCAGTCTACAGTGATGAGAGCTTTACACCCAGATATGTATTTGTGTTTGTATTAAAGTCTACAACTAGACATGTCCTTAAATGTGACAGAACAGAACAACTTGACAGCTAAGAGCTTCATCTACTCATTCATTCGGCCACTCCCCCCTCAGTAACATACTCTAAAGTGAGCAGTAAATTGATATTTCTGACATTTATGAATCATCGTCATAATTGGCAGCTGTGGAGTAACACATAGGTAATCTTCACATCTGTAAAATGCACACCATTGCCCTGAGGGACTGTAAGCGGAAAGTATAGTATATAGGGCACTTTATAGTGGATAAATTTACGGACGGAATCTGAACATTCAAATAAAATGGCAATAGGTTGATATAATACACTATACACTAAAAATAGGGAGTGATCTCGGAGACATGCATAGTTTGGTGTTCTTAATTATTGCACCTGTAGGTAAAGACAGCAACTCAGAGGCTTAACTATACCGGTATTTTCTGTAACCCCTAAAATAAAATAGCTAAACGTGAGAACCACTCAAATTTAATATGCAGTGCGCTTGCTTTTTAAAAGAGTCTTCAGGACAGTGGCAGGAGGAAGGAGAGAGGAAATATGAACAACACTGCACAGAAAATTAGGAAATGTGGAGCAGTTGCAGGTAACAATGTCAGAGGGGAGGAGAGTTAGCGATGGAAAGTTAAACATATCTGTGTCCGTGTCAATATATAATGTTGTCACCGCTAGAAGCTGATTTAATAATATCTGGTAGCAGGGTGCAGAGATTTCTCTATGCTTGACTTCTCCATGCCTAGTGAAGCGTACTCCTTCCTGTTTAACTATTTGTTTGTCTAGCAACTCAAGCAACAGCAGTTGTTAGATTGAACTAAATTTCATTTTTGAAACCAAAACAGCAGGATCAAAATTAGTTGAAGTAATCTAACAACAGGTATTTTTCATTTTAATTTGATTACATGTGGCATTTTGTTGGAAAGTGACTATGGAATGTTCAACTTGTTGTGTAATGTCCGTCACTTGTACAGTTCACTTCCTGTGAAAAGGAAATAAGACCATCCATCATCCATTAAACATCAGCCCTGTCAATCAAATAGCATATTCCCCCTTCACCAAGCATCACTGTGTGCTGTTACCATGGCTACAGGTGGGAAACGACTAGCGCTGTTGTGTATACATACATACATACATACATACATACATACATACATACATACATACATACATACATACATACATTAAGTCTGTAATGGTTGATGATTTTGTGATAGGATGGTGCATAAATGTACTATTGTGCATAGGGAGACCATGACACTATGTTACAAGTAGATACTGTGCATAATGTGAGATACTAGAGATTGTGTGAGTCTGAGGAAAGCATCTACCTGCATCATCTACACAGTCAAAGCCAATGAGTGTCAATGTCAATCATTGATCAGAGATGCATGTGTGTGTGTGCAGCAGACAGATGCAGGCTGATGCAATAAGTCCCATATGTCCCCAAACTCTCAAACCAATGCATTGTGCAAGAAGGTAACCACAGTCTGTAAGAAGGAAGCAGAGCTATGTTTGTTCTTCAAACAGTGTCATTCAGTTGCTGTTCCTTTTTTGATTTCTAGATAAAACAATAACAAAAAATGGGAACCAAAATGTTTGATCTCAGTGTATCTTGTCTCATCATCAGTTAATGTACATCATGTGATGTTATTAATGTCTAATTCTCTTTATATCAGATCTAAAAGCAGCTACAAAATTATATTTGGTGAGTTTTTTGAAGAAAACAAGAGAGAGAAAGTTACACAAAATGTTTTTAGTACTGTAATAGCTTTTACACTGCACTGCATTGTCACTGTTTTGCATGAACAAACACACCAAACTAAAAAAAAATCTACTAATACTTTGGGTTGCAGCAAGGGTGTTTGGATTTCTGATTTTCTGTTTCGCACAAACATACTGTACATTCAGACATCCAGAAACACAAACGGTAGATATTCAAATGAGTTTGAGAGAGAGCTTGATATCTGACACTGCTGCTCTAACCTACTTCTCTCTTAGAGAGGCTGCTGGGGGATTGTTGGATTCTGATTAAATCCAGATGTCGGAGGCAAAAAGTGTGTGTGTTTGTGTGTGTCCAGGATGGGTGGGAGGGTTGGAGGGGCACTGCATTTGTGTGGCACAGTGATATCCAAAAAAGGCATACAAACACACTTAAATTGTCTGTTAGTACAAAGCTTTACTCTGACAAAGCGCATTAAAAGGTTTCACATATAAACCTAAAAGTATTAATATCTTTTTTGTTTTTTAACTAGACTTCAGCTTCTTGCCACTAGAAAACACTGACAGGGAGAAAAAGTAGGTGGAGAAAGAAAGAGAGGAACTGTTGCATGTTTAGCTACTGTAGTTTTCCTCTAGGATATCATTAGCTGTAATTCTGCCTTCAAATGGTAACCAGATGACAGTGAGCACACACACACACACACACACACACACACACACACACACACACACACACACACACACACACACTACGATGCACACTACACATATTTACCAAAACCCTTTAACTTTGTTGCTGTAATTTTCCATTGCTAGTTCAGATTGCATGTAAAAAAAATCTCATATTTTTGCTGTAAACGAAAAAATGCCTCTTAAATCATGCAAATCTATATCCAAAAGAACAAAAGCATTATTTTGGACAACAGCCATGCTTTAGAGAAAGGCTCCAGATTCGTGTGTGCACAGTTTATGATGCATCCAACAGAAACATAGAGGCAGGAAGCAAGAGATGTAGAAATGTCTCGGTGGCTGACAGGGAGAGCGCTCTGCGTGCATGTGAGCGTGCGTGCTTGCGTGTGTGTGTTAATATGCTATCTGCAGGTAGCAGCCAGTGCGGGGTAGATCAAAGAGAGGCGTGTGCTGCCCGGGTCCCCAGACATAAGACCTCTCACCTCGAGGCAGGCGGCCCGAGCCTTGTGGACGTGACAAGGATGGTGAGGGGGGTGGGGGGTGGGGAGGGGGGCTGGCTGTGTAAGGGGAAAAGACACCAAGAGAAGATAGAAAGCAGCAAGAGAAGCTTGTGTGTGCATTTGTTTATATTTGTTATGTTTGTAGGACAAATGCATCAATGAATTGCTAATGTGGGTATGTAAGATATATGAATTTTATACTATATTACTATATAATACTGAAAGGTATATGAAAAATAACGTGTTGTTTGTTGTTTAACATGCTGTTTTTTGTTGTTTTTTGTCTGTCTATATTTTTATTGTTGGTTTATATAATTTTCTTAACGGGAATTTTTGCATTCGTTTATACAGCGAAATCAATAAAATATAAATGATCAAACAGAAAATTAAGTGTGCTCAATAAATGTAAAGGGCAGGTGCGCTGGTGTGAATGCGTTGCTACAGGTACAGATAAAATATGTAAAATATATACAATGTAAAGCGTTGCTTTAACTGCACAGTAGTTAATAACACTATGACACTTGGAAGCTAGAAATCACGGCCACAACCCCGAGGTAAATACTAGAATTACGACGTTCACACTGAAGAGTTATCTGCCATCAATGCACTGATTTGATGGGCCAGCGCCTCAAAGGTTTCTGGAGGTAAGACCAAAGACGAGATGACTGCAGAAGTCTTGAGTTTTGAAGAGCAAAATGAATGTATGAAAGCTGTAGGAGTGGGAATCAAAAGAGTGGAATATACAGTAGACATTTTGTGATGAGAAAAGACAGTTTTGACAGAGTGAGTGATGTGAGGTTTGAAGGAAAGAACAGAATCAACATGCAAGAGAAAAATGACAGAAACTGTCAACACAGAAGGAGAAGCTTTGCAAGTGTTGTTGAGGGATTTAAGATCAATGATGATGACTTCACAGTCGTGATGGTTAATTTGAGAAAAACTGGGTTTTATCTGGGCTTTTATATCCTCAAGGCAGTTCATGATAGCGGAGCAGACAGTGACAGTTGCAAATCCTCGCTAGCTAGTTAGCAGATTCTTCAGGGTTTCGACCTAAAGCATTAATCATTTGTTTTAACCAAAGGAGCTAGAGTTTTTGACATGGACTAGCACAACACATGCATTTCAATGGCTTAAAATTCTCATCCCTACTGTAAACTGTTTTAGTGTCTTGTATAACACAGAAAAAAATGAGACTGAATATGCATGTTTGTCAAACAGGTTAGAGGGCCTATTTGTAAGTTTTCTCTGCTGCTGAACGTGGTTTCTTGCCAGATGCGGGTGTTAGTGATTGACAAGAGCTTTGGTCATTGTTTGTATTTACAAGACAAAAGGCCTCTGCGCAGCACTACGTCCTCAGAGCAGATTGGAGGCTACAGTGAGTCGCTATCGGACAGTGAAGGGACGGGTCGGGGCTAGCTCCTTAGCATGCTACCTTCAGTAGAAGAAAAGATGTGTTGGAGATGAGAGTTAACATTGGGGTTGCTTTCCACTTCTGAAGACAGCTCTTGGTGAGTGAAGGAATGAAATTTGATGCTGAACTTGCAATGTTTCTTCTAT